ATGTGTTGTTATTCATTAATTAGTTCAAATAATTTAAGTATTTTTAAAATGAAATGTCTTCAGATTGGCTGCTAAATATAAAAATATCAGTTTTAAAATAAAAAAGCTTTTATCTCGAATGGCTTTTTTTAAGTGTTCCTTTTACTTTTATACTTTAAGTAGTTTTAAAACCAGTGCTTTTATGCTTTTACTTGAGTTTAAGCTTAAGTTGATACTTCTACTTCCAAAAAAGTATTTTTAAACCCAAGTACCTATACTTCTACTTAAGTAATGAAYGTGAATACTTTTGACACCTCTGCTACCATCATACAGTATATGAGGTCTTTTACTTCTATGTGATTTGATGTTGTTTTGGAGCACCAACAGAAGCTGCACATAAAGTTCTATAACTACACTCAMCTGATCTAAAATGTTTGATTTTGTCAGTTTCTCTGTCGTCCTTTGATTATGCGGTTCTAAGAGGACCTGTCAAGGTGTCTATTTTTATCCAGCAGCCTCACCCMGCAGCGAGAAGTGCWCCGAGGTCACTCTTTGTTCCTGTGCMCCTACCTGCTGTGCTCAGATTGGCCTCTTCTGTTTGAGACAAACAAAAGGAAATGCTGCCTGTTGTCGAAGCGCTTTTCTTGATCTCCTTTAACAAACATGACAACAGTTCTGCATGTCAGATACAGCCAGGGCACAGCAGGACTTAAAAATAAAGGTAACATKGTAAAACAGCTGCCTTTTGTTCAGTGAACTACAGGCTGTGTTTGCAGTAAAGGCCCTCGAGCAAAAAACAACAACAAAATAATTCAAATCTAGGAGAAACTGCGGAAGGTCTTGCTGATATACATTTGCATGAATGTGCAAACAGGAAGAAGAGAATAAAAATAGGTTCTAAGCTGCTCTCCGAGGAGGTAAGATCTGCAATAAAACAAGACAGGAGAAAAGGTGTTTCATCATTAACTCAAAGCATGAAGCTCTGATGGAAATGAACAACTGAAATCAGTGCCTGTCATGAAAAATAAACAGAGCAGAAAAGACATCAGGTATTTTTTTATAATGAAGACCAGTAAATATTCACAGCTTCTGGATTTAAGGCAGCTTATAAAAAAAATCCCAAGTTAGTTAAAGGCTTAACATCCCTTAAAGGAAATCATAATCTGAAAATTTCTGTTGCATTTTGACCATTTTGGCTTGTTTACTTTGACACCAAATCTTTTTGAATCCAGGTCTCAGAGTGGAAGTCTTTGTAAACGCTTGGCCTTGTTTCAAGAGCTACAACTTCTGTGAAATCACACATGTGGACCACAGATCAGTAGGTTTTTATGCTTGGATGAGTAGAACAACAGTAACGATGGTAGATAGCAGAGTGCTGTTAGTAGCTAAAGCTCACTCTTTGGTTTGTCAGAGCTTCTGACATAAAACGTGCAGTGTGCTTCTCTTGGGTCTGCAGACACTGTTGCTCCAAACAAACATTCATGTTTTCACCTCTGTTTAGTTTGCTGATGGACACCTTCAGCCACGTAGGATGCGCAGATGCAGCCTACATTTTCAGGGTTTTGTCAGCCTCAGAAGGAGTCGATGAATTGGGACAGCCTACAGCACAGTGACATAACCAGGCCTATAAAGTGAGACACAACCACTAGCTGTTGAGTTGTCCTCTCCCCTAACAATATGGCTGCTCTCCTGACCATGAAAAGTRATGTGACAGAGCCTCTAGCCAATATACCTCATTGAGTAGGACTCAGGAATGCAAGCTGGTATGAGTATAAATGGACAGGGACTAATGAGCAGAGTGGAGAGACACCTAAGCTTAATGAGAGCAGGGAACAGGTGAGAGTGGACGGAGCTGTGGAGCAGAAACTCACTGAGGGGAAATGAACCGGTGGCACACAACGAAACAAACTGAGCACTAAGGAAATACAGAAACTAAATATTATATAAGACACGAACATAAAAATAGACTTCAAAACAGAACAACTAAAGACTGGGGGAAAAAACAGGGATCATGACACGTTTGTCGTCTCGTCTGAACAGCAGATGTGATCACAGCATTACTGTGAAAACGTGTAACTTTTTCACAGTCAGCATCATAAAATCTGTAACATTTTCAGGGATTGTTCCTGAGTAAACAAAGTCTTAGACTAAGATTATCTTACATTTGTTCCCACTTTGGTCAAACCTTGAAAATAACAATATGCACCGTCTAATGTGATAAAACAAGGTGCGCTCGATCAGTTTTAGATGTGCATTTATGGATTATTTTCAGAAAGTTGCCCTCAAATCTATCCAGTGGTTCAAAAACATTAYTGTCCTTCACCTTTCAGCAGCGGTGGCTGAGATGAAATAAAATGTGTTCTTTTCATTTTTTCTAGATCTGATTTGAGGCTACTGGAACAGAGGAAGCCCAATTAGGGGCTCCCTGTCAGCCTTCTTCCAACACACTCTGACTTGTCTTCATTAGGTTCCTGACCTGCTTCGAACTCTGCTGCCTGTGGAGCACCTTTGTTCTCAGAGTACACACATCTGAGCCGTAAAGAGACAAAACACGCACACACACACACACACAAAATACATAAAAAACTGAGCTGACAACTGTCAAAAATCACTATAAACCTTCAACATTCAAACAGACACATGAATAACTTCAGCATTTTCCACAGGAAGCAGCCCCTTCATGAGGAAATGTTTTATTCAAAAGAGTCATGCAAACCTGCACAACCAATGAAACCTTTTAGACACAGAGAACAAACCTTTCATCTGTTACACTGAGTTCCCTTTTCTTTTTGCCCGAAAACATTTCAGAGAGAAATACCCAGTACTGTAAAGTGGGAATCCTGAACATGGTGAGGACATTAGCTGAACTGTGCTATTTGCAGGCAGCACAGATTGCGCGGCGTCTCGCTAACTTTCATGAGCTTTCACAAAAAAAGAAGAAGAAAAAAAGAAAGCTCAATACCATCTGGTGCATTTGGCAAAGWGAAAACAACTCTTTTCTTCCTCTCGCCAGCAGTGTCTTAAGCAGAGGAATGTGAATGCATTTTCTTGAGGAACAGAGCCATTTTTTAGAAAAAAAAAATCGACTCCAGATCAGGCCGGCAGCTTTGACTGAGACGAACACAGGTCGGCACAGAGATTTGGACTCGCTTTCCTCTTTTTCCATCCATCAGAAATCCTCGGGGACTGCTTCCCAGTGACGGCCCGTGTGCTGCCCAACCTTCGATTTTCATCCAGAGCTWTGAGAACACCGATCCTGCCTGAATCAATATCCATTTACACATACTGGAACCAGACACTGGTTGTAGGCTTCAAACTGAGCCATTCAAATCATTAGTACTTCCTCCTTTTGTGCAATGGGAGCAGGTTAAAATGATCTACAGGTACTGTDAAGTTAGAGGTTGGCACTGAGGTGAGTGGGAGAAGAAAACAAAGGAGATGAGGATGACTGAGTGGTTTTTTGTTCTAATGAATCAGCACCAAGCTGATTAATATAGAAAACAGCATAGACCATCTAATTATCTTATTATACCATGGTAAACATTTACAAGATGCAAATAATCCCATAATAAATAGAAAAGCCAGGCAATCATCACAGCACATAAAACCAAATTATATTTAAAGAACTGATTGCTAACATTAAGCTAATTTTAYGTTGAGCAATTTCAGTCAAATCATGAAAATAACACTAAGAACTTGTGCATCTGTTATTTCTTGGAGTATTTGTTGGGGATGACCATCAGCTACACCAGGTATTAGCTCAATATCTGTAACATTTTCTGAGTTATTGTTGTAAAGGCTGAGATTGATAAGCTGTAGTGGTCAAATTGAGTAATTTTGAAGACATTATTTAGATTATAGATGCTAATCAGCTGTAGATGCATCCAATATTCAAATTCTGAAATATGAATGAAAATATGCCCAGGGTTTCACAAGATGTTTTTTCTAACAGACAAACATGGTTTCCTCCACTGAAATTTTAAACTAAGCTATTACGCAGTGTGTTGCTCTCAGAATATGTGTTGGGGATCACGCTCAGCTACCAACAAACCAAACTTTAGCGCAATATCTGGAAAACCGACTGATTTTGTGTTTTCTAAAGTCAGTTGGCTGAGTTGGCCATCTTGAATTAAACTACCTTCAAATTGTAATGATATTCATCTAATGAAAGTTTCATTAAAATTCACCCAATGTTWATGATAAATTTTAAACCAATTATAATATGGGATGTGTTAGTGCTCAGAATGTGTTGGGGATGATGCTCAGCTACCACCACACCAAATTTTAGCTTAACATCTATAAAATTGATGGAGTTAGAGCCATTTTTTTGTGTTTCCTGTTTTTTTTTCTTTTGCTGTGTAGGCCATCTTGAAACTGGATTATCTCCAAACTGCAATCAAGTGAAGATATACATCCAAAGATTACTTTGAGAGTTTCATCAGGTTAGATATTTTGCTAACAAACACACCCAGAAAACGACAGAAACATAAAAAGAACAGGCCTAAACTGTAAACCCTCCAAATGCAGCAGGATTTTAAAGGAAATGCAACTCATAAAACAGCGGCTGAAATAATTTTCCTATCTGAGCCTTTGTTCAGACGCACACGCCCACGCGCTTGACTCCACGCGCAGGTGGAAACAGTGTTTGGATGACATGATGGCGGCTGGCTGCTGCATAAAAAGCTCAGAGTGAGATGATGTTGATCAGCAGGAGAAAAGCCGCTCCCTTCATCTGTTAAAAAAAAAAGCCTGACACAGCAAGGCGTTGGGAGAAGTTGGGAAGTGACTTCACCGTGGGGGAGACACTCGTTCTGCTCACGCGCCTCCTATTGAGTGACGYGGAGAGACGGAGGAGTCGCGCTTTTCACACTTTATAAAAGCTGCTCCGCGCGCGCGCCAGCCACTCTTTGAAAGAGCGCCGAGGCTGAAACTGCAACAAGAAAACGATAAAAACCCATCAACATYCTCACCATGAGCGAGGTAGGACCGCTTTATGATTTAAGAACAGTAACAATAATAATCAAGCATCGAGCACGCGCGGTTCTCCTGTGCGCAGGGAGAAACATTATTTAATCACATTTTTTTATTTGATGGTTTTTGGATCTGTCTCTTCTGATAAGAGTTGAGCTCGTGCGTGGCTGCGGCGCAGACAGGAGCCACAGTTTAGAGGYGCTTTGGTAAAGTGCGGAGAACACCGGAGCGCACCGGGGACGCGCGGGTTCCTCCTCCCGTGGATCTGCTTTTTTTTTTTACTTTGTCTCTCTCCGGTGGCTCAGTTCTGTTGCACAGGGTGAGGGAGGAAACTGGGCGCCATGAAAAGTCTGTTTTTACTTCAGGGTTTTGGTTCAGGATCAACAGAATATTCTGCTGAAGTGCACAGAGAGTGGACCTGTCTGTGGATCAGCAGGGTGGAGGTCAATCACACTAAGCGTCAGATCATTTCACAATAAGGAGACAGAAATAACTCTATTACTTATGTACAGCATCAATAATAATGATTTGGATAAAATAACCAAATGTATATTATTATATTATATTAATATTTGAAATGTTCTTTCTGGTCCAATTGTTTGGGATATGTGAACGAAAATAAAACTGTTCATCTGAAGTCTGCAGCTCTTTGGTCCCTCTGCAGTGGATCCCTGCAGCTCTGACCAAAATKAACATGGAAACAAATCATTTTTTAACTTCACAACTATAATAGGTAAACAAGATGTGTATGGCGTGTTAGTAACACTGAGAATTCAAAGAACTTGCCTTTAATTAAAAGTTGGACTGGACTACATTTGATCCATATGCAGTCTCATTTCAACTTTGGCCACTGTTACTAGTGTTTCCACATTTAAAAAAGGCTCAAGAAGATCTGTTCATTTCATCACAGGATGTCTGCACAATAATATAT